CTCTCCATTCTGAAAATTTACCGTTCATTCCTACGCTTTGTTCCCTGTTTTTTAACCAGTTCTCAGTCCATGAAAGGATCTTCCTTCTTATCCCATAAGGCAGTGGTTCTCAAACTTTTGTACTGTTGACCCCTTTCACATAGCATGCCTCTGAGTGTGACACACACACACCCCTTATAAATTAAAAACACTTTTTATATATTTAACACCATTATAAATGCTGGAGGTAAAGCGGGGTTTGAGGTGGAGGCTGACAGCTGGCGACCCCCCATGTAATAACCTTTTGACCCCGAGAGGTCCCGAACCCCAGTTTGAGAACCCCTACCATAGGGTGACCAGACAGCAAGTGTCAAAAATCGGGACAGCGAGTGGGGGGTAATAGGAGCCTATACAAGAAAAAGACCCCAAAATTGAGACTGTCCCTATAAAATCGGGACATCTGGTCACCCTATTACCCCATGACAACTTAATTTACGTAAGAGCCTTTGGTGAGGGACTTTGTCAAAGGCTTTCTGGAAATCTAAGTACACTATGTCCACTGGATCCCCCTTGTCCACGTCTGTTGACCCCTTCAAAGAACTCTAGCTCAGTGGTTTGAGCATTGGCCTGCTAAACCCAGGGTTGTGAGTTCAATCCTTGAGGGGGCCATTTAGGGGTCTGGGGCAAAAATTGAGGATTGGCCCTGCTTTGAGCAGGGGGTTGGACTAGATGACCTCCTGAGGTCCCTTCTGACCCTGATATTCTATGAAGTCAGAGTAGGGACATGGTGTTATCTAATAGATTAGTAAGACATGATCTCCCTTTACAGAAACCATGTTGACTTTTGCCCAACAATTTTATGTTCTTCTATGTGTCTGACAATTTTATTCTTTACTATTGTTTCAACTAATTAGTTAGACTTTATCGGTCTGTAATAGCCAGGATCATCTCTAAAGCCCTTTTTAAATATTGGCGTTACATTAGCTATCTTCCAGTCATTGGGTACAGAAGCTGATTTAAAGGACAGGTTACAAACCATAGTTAATAGTTCTGCAATTTCACATTTGAGTTCTTTCAGTTTTGAGTGCTCTCCCTTTGCACGGTGCAGGTGGAACAAAGGGAACAGAGACCAAAAGCAAATCCCTAGCTAGGGATACCAAGTGAACAGAGGGAGTGGCTAGAGCAGGACATACTTTGGCAATCCTCAGCTGGCAAAAGGTCCCTTGTGGACCACAGTCAACTGGTGCAGGTTAGAGCATGCCCATGCTGCCTACTCCAGTCTGCACCTAAGGCCAAGCAGAGAATCAGGGTGGTACAACTTGCTTCCTGATTCCCCGCCCCTTTCCTGTTACATCAGCACAAACAATGCATCAGAGAATCTGGTCCTATAACTGCTCTCCTGGGACTGTTGCGAGTGCCTCTTCCTGGCCTAGGTTTGTTATTGCTAGCTGCACATGAGCACTCTTCAGCTTGAGCCTGGGTGTGCAACAGCTGTAGACCCACTCCTGCTTCAGGGTTTTCAAGCCCCCCTAGCAGTCCCATTCCTTCTCCTCACCCTGTTCCTTGAAAAGTGTCATGTCAGCTCCCTGATGGAAACAAACGTTTCACATTTGGGGACAATGTATACCTTCAGATCAGCGGCACTGCTATGGGTACCCGCATGGCCCCACAGTATGCCAACATTTTTATGGCTGATTTAGAACAACGCTTCCTCAGCTCTCGTCCCCTAAAGCCCCTACTCTACTTGCGCTATATTGATGACATCTTCATCATCTGGACCCATGGAAAAGAAGCCCTTGAGGAATTCCACCATGATTTCAACAATTTCCATCCCACCACCAACCTCAGCCTGGTCCAGTCCACACAAGAGATCCACTTCCTGGACACTACAGTGCTAATAAACAATGGCCACATAAACACCACCCTATACCGGAAACCTACTGACCGCTATTCCTACCTGCATGCCTCCAGCTTTCACCCTGACCACACCACACGATCCATCGTCTACAGCCAAGCTCTGCGATACAACCGCATTTGCTCCAACCCCTCAGACAGAGACAAACACCTACAAGATCTCTGTCAAGCTTTCTTACAACTACAATACCCACCTGCAGAAGTAAAGAAACAGATTGATAGAGCCAGAAGAGTTCCCAGAAGTTACCTACTACAGGACAGGCCTAACAAAGAAAATAACAGAACGCCATTAGCCATCACCTTCAGCCCCCAACTAAAACCCCTCCAACGCATTATTAAGGATCTACAACCTATCCTAAAGGATGACCCAACACTCTCACAAATCTTGGGAGACAGGCCAGTCCTTGCCTACAGACAGCCCGCAACCTGAAGCAAATACTCACCAACAACCACATACCACACAACAGAACCACTAACCCAGGAACTTATCCTTGCAACAAAGCCCGTTGCCAATTGTGCCCACATATCTATTCAGGGGACACCATCACAGGGCCTAATAACATCAGCCACACTATCAGAGGCTCGTTCACCTGCACATCCACCAATGTGATATCTGCCATCATGTGCCAGTAATGCCCCTCTGCCATGTACATTGGTCAAACTGGACAGTCTCTACGTAAAAGAATAAATGGACACAAATCAGATGTCAAGAATTATAACATTCATAAACCAGTCGGAGAACACTTCAATCTCTCTGGTCACACAATCACAGACATGAAGGTCGCTATCTTAAAACAAAAAAACTTCAAATCCAGACTCCAGCGAGAAACTGCTGAATTGGAATTCATTTGCAAATTGGATACTATTAATTTAGGCTTAAATAGAGACTGGGAGTGGCTAAGTCATTATGCAAGGTAGCCTATTTCCTCTTGTTTTTTCCTACCCCCCCCCCCAGATGTTCTGGTTTAACTTGGATTTAAACTTGGAGAGTGGTCAGTTTGGATGAGCTATTACCAGCAGGAGAGTGAGTTTGTGTGTGTATGGGGGTGGGGGTGTGTGTGTGAGAAAACCTGGATTTGTGCTGGAAATGGCCCACCTTGATTATCATGCACATTGTAGGGAGAATGGTCACTTTGGATGAGCTATTACCAGCAGGATAGTGAGTTTGTGTGTGTGGTTTTTGGGAGGGGGGGGAGGGGGTGAGAGAACCTGGATTTGTGCAGGAAATGGCCCAACTTGATTATCATGCACATTGTGTAAAGAGTTGTCACTTTGGATGGGCTATCACCAGCAGGAGAGTGAATTTGTGTGGGGGGGGTGGAGGGTGAGAAAACCTGGATTTGTGCTGGAAATGGCCCAACCTGATGATCACTTTAGATAAGCTATTACCAGCAGGACAGTGGGGTGGGAGGAGGTATTGTTTCATATTCTCTGTGTGTATATAAAGTCTGCTGCAGTTTCCACGGTATGCATCCGATGAAGTGAGCTGTAGCTCACGAAAGCTCATGCTCAAATAAATTGGTTAGTCTCTAAGGTGCCACAAGTACTCCTTTTCTTGTTGTGTTTGCTAATACTAATAAGAGTTGTTTTTCATTTATTTTTATAACTAACCCATGCACTAGTCTTTTAGAGCTATGGAAATTTTTTAAAAAAGAGATATTTTAACTCTTTCAAACCTTAAACCGCTGGGCTGATTTAATTGCAATTTTACAGAAAATGAAATCTATACTCTCTGGATATTCTCCCATCACAAAGGTACAGATTTAATTTTCTATAATGTTACAAATAAAATCTTTTGCCAACTTAGGAGTTTGAAGAAGTTCTAACTATTAGAGGTAGCACTAACAAAATATTGTACATAGGCTAGTTAAGGGAAAAAATTGAAAATAACCAAGATGTTAGCATTGTTTGTCACAGTTGTTTCCATTTATGTCACCACAAGCACATGTATAAAATTCTACACCTCAAAAAGTTTAAGAGGCAGAAATATGTGGAAAAAAAGTTAGAAAATGTTGAGGTTAGAAAGGGAAGAAATTGAACGGTAGGAACGATCACAATTAAGTTTGCCTACCAAAAATAATGTGAAGATCCCCACAGCTTCTGTCTCATTATCTAAATATTTCTCCATCTTTCACACACGCCGCTCAGTCAGCGCACAGAATGAGGCAGAGGTTCTGCGGAGATAATAGTCTAAGATTATGTAATTAAATACTGTCACTGTGCATATGCACAAGAGGGCAGAGTTACCATGATACAGGCGCCCTCAGTGCTGGCATTCCCTGACATGCTTTCCGACCGTCATAGCTCCTAACACTGTGTCTGGGGGGTTATTTGGTTTATTATTATTACGGGTGCTGTTTATTTTCCTGGTAAGTCTCTACTGTGGAGGAATTTGCTGACCACAAGAGAATACCATCTTGCGAAACACGTTTGTTCCCCCAGTGAGGGCTCGCACTGAGTAGGGAATGCGGCAGGGCACGCTATGTGCACCCTTAAAGATAATTAAATAGGCAACTTCTTAGAGGGAAAATCCCAGTGAGTGCACTGCAGCTAGGGGCCTGTGCCTAGGGGCCGGGACTGTGGAGAGACATTATTTTAACCAGCCAGGCACTCCTCGAACCGGGCGCAACTTCAGCCGGGTTCCCAGGCCAGGGAAAGGCTCATGCCCAGACCAGGCTCTGCCTCCCTGCACAACTCCGCGGGGCTGTCCGGGGGCCAGGCCGGGCGGCAGGGGCTGTCCGCAGGCAGCGGCGGCTGGTTACCGGCCCCAGCAGCCCGCTGCTCTCGCTGGCCAAGGGCCGGGTGCTCAGCTCGGGTCGGACCTATTCCTGGCGGTGTCCCCGCGTGACCTGCCCTGCGATTCAAGACCCATCTTTAAAGCCCGGAGACTCGCGGGCAATTCCGGCGGGTTGGCCGCCGCCAGGGGCTGCCCCGGCTGGCTCGGGCGGCGCCCCGCGCCCCGCCCCGGCAAAGCCCCGCGAGCCGCAGACCGGGGGCCCGGGAGCCGCGCGGCAGGACCAGCCGCGGCGCCCCGCTCCGGGCCCGCCCGCCCCCGCCGCCGCGGCCCGCCCGGGAAGCCAGCGCCCCCCGCCCCGCGGCTCCCCTGACGTCAGGCCGCCAGCCCGGGCTGGTCCCCGCCTCTCATTGTCAGGAGCCCGAGCCCGAGCCCGGAGCCAGCGGGCTGCTGCCGCCGCGGAGCCCCGGGAGCCCCAGGCGGCGAGAGGCGGGACCCGGCTGCCTGGCAGGAGGCTCCGTCCCCGGGACTCGGGCAAGTTCCCGGCGGGACGCGGGCTCGGGGCCGGCAGGGGTGTGCGGGGAGCCGCGGGGAGCGGGCCGGGTCCCGGGGAGCCCGGCCCGGCCCGGGGCGGGGCGGGGGAGGCGCTGGCTTTGTTCGCGGGGCCGGCGGCAGCCCTGGCGGGGCAGGGGGAGCCGGCGCGAAGGGCGCGTGGGGCGCGGGGCCCCCGGCGGTTGCTTTGTTCGGGAGACTCCTCCGGAGTCGGGGCTGGAACTTCTGGCCGCAGCTCCCCGCCGAGCCCCGCGCTCCGAGCCCGCCCGCCAGCCGCCGAGCCCCGCGCTCCGAGCCCGCCCGCCAGCCGCCGACATGCGGCCGGGCCGGGGGCCGCGGCGTTTCCGTGCGGGGCCGGGGACAGCTCCCGCCCCGCAGCCCAGCAGGGAGCGTGAGCCCAGCGGGTCCCCGCGCCAGGCGCAGCCGCTGGCGGGCGAGCTCTCCTAGCGCCGTTTCCTTGGCCGGGGAGACGGGGCTGCGGTAATGTTGACTCAGAAATCCCAGCGCCCTTTCGTTTGGTGTTTGCAATAGACGCCGGAGCACGCACAGGGGCCAAACAAAGTCCCTGCGGTTTGCGCAAAAGTCCTCGCGCTGGGGGGTTCCATGGAGGTCGAGTTAACTCGCGGCGTGAATGGAAAATGGTCTCCCGCTGTTGGGTCTGCTACTGAGGAGGGTGGTTTAAGCGGAAAGTTCACAGTTTTTAATGGAAAAATCTCCAGTGTGCTGGTTGAATGGTTAAATGCGGAAACAAGCAGAGAATTCTTCTGCGTCAGACATAATTATGTTGATCAGAACCCTCTCCAGGGCAGATCGGTTTTTGCTCGGTTTACTCCGAGGAATTTTCCAAGTTTCTAAAACGAAACCATTTTCCTGACCATGCAGACGTAGACGGCAAGTAGTGCACAGAGGCTTCCTGATCAAGCTTGGGGTTGTTTCACCCACCATGATCTTTGACTGATCCAGGCTGTTGTTTGCAGAAGGAGTCCGCCAATGGCTTCTGCTTTCCTTAAATATTCAGAGCATTTTCTCACTCGGTTAGCACCAGTTTGTTAGCCGAGGGGCAGCTCTGTTACTTCAGAGCAAATGTGTTTAGTACAGTATAGGCATCAGAAACATATGTGCACGTTGTCCTAGGAGATCTCAGCATAGCCCTGTTTTAGAAGTATTCTGGAACTGGCCCCTGTCTGGTTTTCAAGACTTTCAGCAATTTCTGTAGAATTCATTAAACCTTTTTGTAACCAACAATGTTTAATATAATATGAAATTCATTAACAGGCATTCTGTCCTTGTAATGCTCAATTACAATACCTTGTAATGTGTCGGATTATGTTGTCTCTCTGGTTTTTGTTGTTGTTCTATTCTAGTTTTATTAGGTGCCCTGAGACCCCAGGCATGGGCGCCCTGTAAATAAATTTTCCCGTTGTTTTATTATTATCCCCACTTAATATTACCTTTTCCAATAGCTCTGTATTCATCTGAATTCCCCCGCACACTCGTTGTTCACTTAGTAATACCTGAATAATACCACCTTTAATAAGACCAGTTTCAGGTTTATATTTTATTTTTATTTCAGCTTTTCTGATTTTCCAGAGTTGAGGCTTACTTTGAGGGCTTTGCCTTACTTTCCCCCATCCTAAAATCTCGTGGGAAGACTGTGATTTTAATATTGGAACACTGATCAAATTTCTTCCTTCTTTTTCTGTTCCCATTTATAATTCTTCCTGAGATGCTGCATTTATCGTTTCCAAGTGGTGATTGCTGGTATTTGTGTTTTAATGTTTGTGGAGCCCTCGCAGAGGGGATATTTCTCCACAATAGTAAGACACTTTAATTGCAAACTTGCATTTTTCTTATGCCAAATCTCAAACATCTAAACCAGTTAAGCCAGTTTAAGGACACCCAGATCAACCAATAAATACATTAGAACTAGGCTTGGAAGGATTAGATTTTAATCTGTAAATGTCAGGAGTAGTTAATTTCTCCTGGCTTACCAAACCACTGAAAAAATTAATAATTGAAATGTACATAGATAATGAGTTTTTAAACATCACTTTGGTGTGTGTGGATGTACATGAACATCTAGCGAACAGTTGAAGATACTTAAAATGACACATTTAGTTCTGAACTATTCTGTAGCACTGGAGTTGCATCAGGCCACCAGAGCCCAGGGAAGATGTACGTTTCTGAGCCATACCTATATGTTTGTTTTGAAGTTATGCACTTTGCTTTGATCATCTGGGATGAGGAAAGGGTTACAGCATTTATCAGTACTTGTACAATATGCAAATGAACACACTTTGGTTAAAAATGGTCCTCAGCCACTGAAAGCATATGAATTTACATAATCTGTGTATGGATAATCGAAGTGTCTCCGTTGTGAGATAGGTAGGGCCCTGCCAAATTCACAGCCATGAAAAATGCGTCATGAACTGTGAAATCTGCCACCCTTACTTCTGCGCTGCTGCCTTCCGAGCTGGGCAGTTTGGGCGTGGTGGCTGCTGACGGAGGGCCCAGCTCAGCAGGCAGCAGTGCAGAGGTAAGGGTGGCAATCCCGTACCGGGCCATCCTTCCTTCTGTGCTGGTGCCGGCAGTGGCTCTGCCTTCAGAGCTGGACTCCCAGGCTGCAGCCGCCGCTCTCCGGCTCCACAGTCCTGAAGGCAGCTGCCGCCAGCAGCAGGAGTGCAGAATTAAGGGTGACAGTGCTGCAACCTCCCCTACAACAACCTTGCGACTCCCCCCAACTCTTTTTGGGTCAGAACCCCTAAAATAGCACTGTGAAATTTCAGATTTAAATAGCTAAAATCATGAGATTTACAATTTTTTAAAATCCTTTGACCGTGAAATTGACCAAAATGGACCATGAATTTGGTAGGGCCCTAGAGACAGGCCATTGCTGTCAGAATTCTCTGTAAGTGTGCCCACAATAAAGATGACTGTATTAATGTCTGACCTCGTCCCCACGCTGTCATCCTTACTTAGATATTAATAACTGTTCTTAGAGAGAATGAGGGGTAGGCGGGCTAAGCCTTCCAGAAGAGATAAGAAAGAGTCAGAAGAAGAAAGATTTAGAAAACTAGGGTTGATGTATTTTGGGGAGCATCTGGTAGAAGTTCTGAATGCAAGGATTCCTAGCAATAAATCATACACAGAGGTGGCAGGTGGAAACCACAAAGCACGGGGTTCCTTGTTCACTCCGTAATAGCTATTTCCTGGGCTGAGAAGCCCTTCCACCTTCATAGCTCATTTAGGCCAGGGCATGTTTATTGCTTCATTAACACCCTCAACTTATCATTAACAGTTTTATTTCTGAATACTTCTACGACGGATGCATTTTAAATAAATAATAAGTAGCAACGGAGGGTTCACTTTTGAAAATTTCCTGATAGTGCAAATTTGTTAATTAAAATTGGGGAAAATGTTTGAAAAGAAATACCAGTGTTTATAGAAATTATTAGTCTTATGCACACAAGCTGTTCCAGTAAAGTCTCTTCCCTCCAGTTTGAAGCCACATTGTTGATTCTGGCATCCAGGAAGCTGACTATAAAAATGTTGACAGGATACTCTGTGCTAACTTCTCCAGCTTTGTCTATACTGGGAAAATGTGTTACGTTGGAAAACATGTTATTGAATACGTTTTAACTAACATGATGTTAAACACAACTTAGTTCCTAGTGTAGACAGGAGCAAGTCTTGTTTAGAAAGTATTAATCCCTAGGGTTAAGCACAACCAGATGACCACCATTTAAAACATGTCCTTATCCGCTCTACGTGCTAAATCATATTTGTTAAATACTTTAAAGAGCTTTGTGTAGCTCAGGCTTGTCTCTCTCACCAACAGAAGTTGGTCCAGTAAAAGATGTTACCTCACCCATCTTGTCTTTCTAACATCCTGAGACCAGTACAGCTACAACAACATTGCGAATGTATTTAACACTGTGTTAGGGAACACGTTTTAGTTAACACAACTTCTAACATGATATATTTTTCCAGTGTAAGCAAGCCTTCTGACACTGTAAATTCATTCCTTTTCACTCAGGCCAGCAATTAGGACATATAATACATTTGGTATTTATTATATAATCTCTTCAAAAAATGATGTTAGCTTAACTGAACCTTTTCACTAAATGGGAAAATATTCAGAAACTTGAATCTCTGGTTAAGCAAAAAGAAAAGGAGGACTTGTGGCACCTTAGAGACTAACCAGTTTATTTGAGCATAAGCTTTCGTGAGCTACACCTCACTTCATCGGATGCATACTGTAGCTCACGAAAGCTTATGCTCAAATAAATTGGTTAGTCTCTAAGGTGCCACAAGTACTCCTTTTCTTTTTGCGAATACAGACTAACACGGCTGTTACTCTGAAATCTGGTTAAGCAAATAATCTTGGCTAGAAAATGTATGTTTAAAACCATTTCTTCTATTAATTATGAGTAGTGGTAATGGTTATAATGCAGGGTTTATGAGGTGTAACCGCTTCTAACTCTTAGTACAGTCCAATAACTGCAAAAATTGCTTTAAAATTCTAAAATCGTACGTATACTTGCTGCCTGTACTTGTCCTGTCACTCACTCACTCTGTTCCAGGCAGGGCCATCTTCCGGGGGGGCCAGGCTTTTCCCCCATCTTCACTGTGCCGCATTTTATTTCCTTTATTGACAATAGTCTTAATTCAATCTCTTTTCTCCATAGTTTGGTAAATGTACTAAGTGTTGCCGTGAATTATTCATATTGCTGGATTGCCGTGTTTAGATTTAGGAGCAGCAGCCATTTCATTTACCCTCCCTGTGAGATTTGGCTTTGTCTCTGGTAGAGTTTGACTGCTACTGCTTCTTACCTTTACAAAAGTGAGTTTACAGGAACAATGGGAGCGTGCCTAGAAGGGGACTGGGAATCGGAGTTCCGGTTTCTAGAGCTCTAGCAGCCACTGATTCAGTTGGGTGAAAACCATAATTCGACCTCTGCTGGCTAAAGTTAGGCGGCTAA